CGGCCCGGAAGGGGTTCCAGGGCGCCGGGAGCAGAAAATCAATATTTTCGAAAGAAAAATATGTCTTGGAGTGGCCTTTTTTCCGCACCGCCTCGGAATTCAATTTTCCGGCGCCGGCCGGCGCCGGAACCGGCCCGGGCGCTGGCCCGGGTGCTGGCCCACTTTGATCGTCGGGTGGGTGTAAGTGCGGTAAGAGCGTTGTATATCCGATGAAATCGTTTCAACGAAGATGTATGTAGGTTCATGCTAGTTGACCTCACATATTCAACATATATAAAATATCGAACTTCGCATTCATCTACTTAACGTTTTGTTAGATAAGTATATTCAACAACATACCATACATACTACTCACAGAACCATCCATCTTATCAACTGAGCTATCGGGTACCACTGCCAAGATATATCGATACATACACCTCAACATACCCAACTTAGTAGCTAAGTCAGCTAAGTCGATGTGGGCTGTCCGATTCGGTTAACCCGAAATTTGCATAACTTTCTATGTTTTGCATGTTTGTTCTTGATATTGCTATGTTTCGGGAAAAAACCACAAAAAACGTTTTAACAACTACAACACAACAGTTTTTCAGGACAGGGCGCCGCAGGTCGACGCGCCGAGCCGCCCTCAGGACGCCTGCGGGGCGCGGAGGGGAAGGGGGGAGAGGGAGAGGGGGGGGGATCAACTATTCTTCAAACTGCCTCCCCTCGGCGGCCATCACCGCCTCCCCTCTCCTCTCCTCGTTGTCGGCGGCCAGCCCGCCCCCGCTCCCTCCTGCCGCCTTCCCTCCCCGAGCCCGCCTTCCTTCTTCGGCGGCATATCCGCCCCTCCCTCCTGCACCTCTCTATCGAAGGGCGGCGCATCCGCCAGCGGCATATCCGCTCTCGCATGCGCTCGTTTTTTCCTTTTTCACGTGATGGCGAGCACATAGCCATCGTCCTGTAGTCGCCGATAAGCCGCCCAGGCTGGCGGGATCAGCTCGGCGGGCATCACGGCGACGTCGCCGCGCGGCCGCCACAGGGACGCGCCTGGGCATGGCGCGCGCACCCATTCCAGGGTCTCCACCAGCAGGTAGCTGGCGGCGCCAGCCTGCGCGCAGCAATGCACGATGTACGCCTCGCCGTCGCCCAGGAGAAAATCCTGAGGGCAGCAACGCCTCGATTTTTGGGGGGGCACACGCATGTGCACCCCTAAATACCAAGGTTGGTTGCGCCGTCTGTCCTGGCTGCCGTACATCTGGCCGTCGATCGACGCCTCTCTGCTGGTCCACGTTTCAGCCCTGCGGAGGGGTCCTCCTCCTCCTCCTCCTCCTCCTCCTCCTCCTCCTCCTCCTCCTGGCGGCGAGCCGCCTCGGCGGCAAACCGCCTTCCCCTCTCCCAGCCCATCTTCCTCCACAAAGGGCATGCAAGGTTGCGCCCCGAGTGCCCGAACGTACTGTCCAGCTCTGGCGTGCGCCACGCTTTGGCGCGGGAGCGCGGCGCCTCCTTCGCTTCCTCCAGGAAGCAGGCGAGCATCGCCGTCAAGGCCGACCGCTCGAAATTCTCAGGGTTGTCGATCTCCTGCGACCTGGACCGAAGCAGGTTGTGCTTCCGCTCGAGTACGAAGGCGTCCAACCAGATGCCGTCCTCCGCAGGCTGGTCGGGGACGTGCCACAAATAATGATGCTTCGGCTTGATCAGGGCTGGCCCGTGCGCGGCTTTGTGCAGCGCCAAGGAAATCGAAACGGCCTTGGTCCAGACAGCTATCAAATTCGGCACGGCGCCGATCCTCAGGACGTAGCCGAACCGCCTGCCACCTAAGCGCTCGAGGATGCGCGCGGGCCGACGCGGTGCATCCTCGAACGCGCAGGCCAGCGTTTGCGTTTCAGCTGCGGCCGCATGTCCTTTTGCCCTGCATGTACAATTCGAGCATCTTCGCCATCGCCTCGAACGACCGCGCCGCAGCGTTCGCCATGCCGCTGGGACGCAGCTCTGTGTGCACCCAATGACGAATCAAAGGGAACACGGCCAAGCAATCCGACGCCTTGCCCACGAAGTGCGACGCCTTGCAGGTCGCTTTCTTCCGAGCCACGCTGAACAGAAACGCTGGCGGTTTCCTGCCGCGTCTGCCAGTCCGCCACGCCGAGCAGCGATCCCGCCACGTTCCCCACGCGTCGGGGATGACATCCCTCACCGCCTTGAGGAGCGCAAAGATTTCGACCTGCAAGGTCCCGCCGCTGGCCAGCATGGTATGCATGGGGTCCCTCACGTATGTGCTCGGCGGCGCCACCGTCCGCAACGCCTGGCACGCCACCAGAGAACGGTCATCCAGAGTGATGCCCATTGCCGTCTCCTTCGGGGGCCGGAACATCAGAAGGGAAGGAAGGGGGGGACATCAGAAGGGGATCGATGGAAATGTTTTCCTCCCTGGCTCCAGTCTCTCGATGTTCGCTCTGGTTGTCGTGTCCCGCAGCGACGCCAAATCATCATATTGCTGCAAAAACTCGTCTGACGACAGCGGGTCAAAGCGCGACGAGTCAGCGCACCAGAGAGGCACGAGGTAATCATCGTCGTCGTAGTCTGCAAGACATTCCGCCTGATCCAGCACAACGTTCTTGCATTGCAAGCACGGTCTCAGACCTGCAGCGCCCTTGGTGCAGAATGTCTCTTTTCCAGCCGCCTCGTCTGCAATCAAGCGGTGGAACTTGGCGAAAAAGTGCACGCCGCCGATTGGCGCACCGTGCTCCGACAGACTCTCTGGGCCCAGGAACAGCGCGCGAAGCAATGCCCGCGCCACGGCCGAGCCGCCGATGCTCTTCTTCACGACGACGCGCAAGGTGCCGATCGGCAGCCACGCAACCTCCTTCTGCAAGAAGGATCCGAACTCGAGGAAACTCGCATACACCGCGAGCTGATTCCGACGATTATCTATCTTCAAGGCGTTGCCCACGCCAATGTCGTCGTAGTACAGCAAAAGCCTCCACGGCCGATCGCGCGACACAGGGAAACGGCGCATCGCTTCCCAAAACATTGAACTCCAGAGAGGGCAGTCCGACAGGAGCCTCGGCATCAGCCGATGCGGCAGCGCCACGCTCCATCGGAAAGGCGTGCCGATCTTGGGCTGCAGCCGCACTGCGCTGATGAGATCGGCCACGGATGCCGTCTGCGATCGCTGCATGGCCCGAGCGCTCACGTCTATAGCATCGCCCGCGTCGTCGCCATGGCCAAGCGCAGTCACGATTCGCTCGAGCAAAGCCGCGGACACGCCGCGCAGGGCCAGACACTGTTGCAGTCGAGCCCGCTGCTCCACCTGCTTGTCCACCTGCAGGGCGCGTTTCCCCATTGCGCCGACGCCCGCGCGCGGGAGGGGCGGGGGCGGGGGGCAGCGCGAGGCCCAGCGCGGTTGAGAAAAACGAATTGCAGCCAGAGAGACGGAAGTGGAGGCGGGAATGGATCGCGGGGCGGAGTAGCCGCCGAAGGGCATGGCGGTGTAGCCGCCTGAAGGGTCGGGAGGGGCGGCGTAGCCGCCGAAGAGCGTGGGGGCGAGGGGGCATGGGGGGAGGGGGGAGGGGGGGGGGGTGGGTGGGGGAGATTGCGGAGGCGCGAAGTGAGCGTAGCAACGGAACTTGCAAGGGAGATTTCTTTTTCTCGCACGCAATTTCGAGCTTGAGTTTCAAGCTCGGGTTCCAAGCCGCCAGCGCTCGGAGACGGGCGCGGCTGGCGGCTCGAGCTCGGGACGGGCGCAGCGCGGGACGGGCGCGGCGGCGGCTGGCGGCTCTTAGTGCGGGTGCGCGTGCTGCCTCCAACTCCTCATCCACCTCCTCCTCCTCTCCTCATCCTGCCTCCTCTTCCTCCTTATCCTCCTCTATCGGCCCAGCCGATCGCCGCTCAGCTCTCCTGGTGCGGCTGGCGGCAGAAGAACCGAATGCCGCCTGGGATGTCCTGCACCATCTGCTTCGACATCTGGCACAGCATCTTGCCGCGCTCCTCGGTGCGGCGCGCCTCCTCCATCATGCGCCGCGCCTTGTCGATGAGCATCTGGCCCTTGATGCCAACGGCGCGTGCATGGCGGCAACGATTGCGCCACTCGATGAAGCGCACCACGATGGTCGCCCAGCTCCACGCACTGCCACCCGTGATGAGCTCGAAGTCATCGACGTCGTACTTGTCCGCGATGCTCGCCATGGCGGCGCAAGACCGCGAAGGGGCACGACCTCGAGCGGCTCCACTTGAGCCACAAAGACTACGGATGAGGGGTGGGACGGTGGCAGATCATGTCATTGGGAAACGCGAGAGAACGGTGCGAGCGCGGTGGGCAGCAAAGGCGGCATCTCCGCCAAATGAAGGCAAGGCGGCATGTCCGCCAAGGGCTTGCGAGAGTGGAAAGGCGGCATCCCCGCCAAACGAAGGGCTGCGGTGGTAACGAGTGGGGTGGCGATGGCAACGAAGAAATGTTTTTTTTCAACAACAATAACAATTGTACGAAATCACACACCTCGTCATGAGCGGCCCAACTGCCGCCCCTGCCAAGGAGCTGCTTCGCCTCTGCTTCGTCTCCGACCGCCAATCGATGGGATTCCCAACGGTGTCGCTGGCCTTCGCGAGCCACAGCTCGCGCGGTAGGGTCTCGGGCAGGACGCGCTCGAGCAGGAGGGAGTTATGCAAGCGCTTCGCCTCGCCAAGTGAGGCATCGGAGCGCGATGAGCAGCAAAGGCGGCATCTCCGCCAAATGAAGGCAAGGCGGCATGTCCGCCAAGGGCTTGCGAGAGTGGAAAGGCGGCATCCCCGCCAAACGAAGGGCTGCGGTGGTAACGAGTGGGGTGGCGGTGGAAATGTTGTTTCACCAACAATAACAATTGTACGAAATCACACACCTCGTCAGGAGCGGCCCAACTGCCGCCCCTGCTCACGAGCGGCCCAGCGGCCGCGGCTTATTCGGGTCCTTCTCCACCTTTTTCAGGCCGTACTTCATGATGTACTGGGCCACCATGGGGCGCTCAGGTGCTGTGCTTCTGCGCCTCCTTGAGCATCCCCGCGATGGCCCTCGCCGCCGAGCTCGCATCCTTCTGGATGCTGATGGCCTCGTCCTGCGTGATCGTCAACGCCACGCCGCTGTGCACGCGCTTCTGCGCCACCGCCTTCATGACTGCCACAGACTTCCTCGCCGCCTTCGCGTTCTTCACAGCCCATGACGGCACCTTGTCCGCCTTCTCATGCTCGAGGTACCCGTCCAGCTCTGTCTCGAGCCTCGTTGCGGTGCCGATCCACTTCAGCGCCAGGTTTTTCTCCTGCGTCTCCTTCTTGGCCTGCTCGGCCTTCTCCCTCGCTTCCTGTCGCCTCCGCTCCTTCTCAGCGTCCTTATCCCTGCGGAGCCTTCGGGGTTGTCCGAAAATGACAACACTTCGAGCCGAGCGAAATCAATAACCCGATCCGAACCTGAAGAGTTGAACGGAAACCGAAAACGAATGCGAAGCCCAGGCGACACCCCTGCGTTGAACCCCCAAACGGCCTGCTCTTGCTCCTGTCCTTGCTCTTGCCGCGGCTCTTGCTCCTGCCCTTGCGGCGGCTCTTGCTCCTGTCGCGGTCGCCGCGCGAGCGGCTCCTGCTGCGGTTGGTGTCGCGACGTCTGTCGCGGCGTCTGCTCCTGCTGTCGCGCCTGCCCCTGCTGTCGCGCCTGCTCATGCTGCGCCTCCTCCTCCTGCGGCTGTCAGACCTGCGCCTGCGGCGCCGCCTGGATCTGGACATGTCGCTCTCGTCGCTTCTGTCGCCCTTGTCGCCGCCGTGCTCTGCGACGCCCGTCGAGGCCGCTGCCCGCGGGCCGCTCTGCTTCGCCTGCGTCCTCTTATCGGTGTACAGCTCGTTGCGCACTGCGGCCTCCACTGTCTCGCTCCAGGCCGCCTCCAATTGCGGCCTGTACGTCCACTCCCCGAGATCAGGGTTCCACCTCTTATCCTGCACATTATCTTCAATCTTTTTCGCGTCGAAGCCGTCGTGCGCCCACTTCCTCAGCGGAAGGTACTTGCCACCCTTGCGGACGCGCTCCTCCTCCATCCGTTGGACAGTGATTGAGCTGACCACGAAGGCTTCAATGCGATCGAGGTTCGACAGCCCAGGATCTTCTGCCAGATCCTTGTAGAACTGCTGCTTGAACTCACTCTTCATTTTGGCGAAACACTTTGGCGGCCACTGTCCGAACCTCCGAGAAAGGCGCACCCCGTTCGTGTTGCACGCGTCGCACTGGTAAGTCGACTGGCCCTTCGCCCTGATCCTGTAGTTGCACTCCTTTGCCGTGCGACAGCAGCGGTTGCAACGCACGATGCTATGCCCGATGCCATGCACATCCACGAACTCCCCTACCTGGGGAGCGCCTGCTGGCGGATCGTCCTGAGCTGCCTCCTCCTCCTCCGCCTGCGGCGCTGCCGCCTCGGGCGAGCGCTCCTCATTCTCAACCTTGGCTACCGCGCCCTGCGGTGGAGCCTCTTCCTCCTCAAGCTCACGCTTGGCACTCTCAAGCTCATCCTGTTTGACGCCGAGCTCGGAACCAATCTCGTCGCCGCGCTCCTCGGAGCCCGATGCCGCCTCTGACGCTGCGTCGTCCGGCTCTGGTGGCAAAGCCGCTGCGCCCTGAGGAGGCAGTTCTTCGGCGGGAGCTGCGGCTGACGCAGCTTTGCGAGCCGTCCTCAACGCTGCGGGGTGCTTACCTTTGCCCTTGCCTTTGCTTTTCCCGCGTGCCTTCGGCGGCCCTGCGTCGGTCAATGCGAGCGGCGGCACAAGCTGTCCAGTCAGTGTCATCTGCGTCCCCGATAGCTTAGCTTTCCCACGGGGCTTCGCTGCGGGCGCCTTGGTCATCACTCCCTTGTTTTTCGGCCTGGCTGCTCCGAACATCACTGCCAGAGAATGCTGCTGGTGATCTTCAGCGGGCGGCGTCCCCGCCATGGCGGCGTGACCGCCTTGGCGCGCGAGAAGCCGCGCGTCGCGCGCGGCCCTGATGCCAAGATGAGCTGGACGCGAAGCGATGACGAAGAAAACGCGCGGTAAGTGAGGCGGGATAGCCGCCAGCGGATAGCCGCTTCAAAGGTGGAGGGAGGGGTGGAGTGAGGTATGAAGGGGGCGGCATATCCGCCAGCGGACTCGCCGCTTGAGAGGGCGCAGGGGCGCGGCGAGGGAGGCGGATTGGCCGCCAGCGGACTAGCCGCTCGAAGCGTGGCGGACGCACGAGGTGATACGGATACTGAAATGAATTGCGCGCAACATGACAACCACACAAAATTGACATCATGTTATCATATGTTATCATATGTTATCAGGCGTGTGATAACACCATGCTAACACATGATAACACCTGATAACATGTTTATCAGGTGTTATCAGGTGTTATCAGGCGCGTGATAACATCTGCTAACATATGATAACAGCCAACGTTTTTTTGCCAGTGCATGGCGGCGGCGTAGCGGCACGTCCGCCGAGTTAGTTAAGCGGAGCAGCAGGGGCGGAGCGGCGCCCTGCGCTACCGACCGCGGACGGCGCCGCGTGCTTCAAACCGCTGCCTGAGCGGCAGCGAAAAGACGGGCGAGCGCGGAAGCGAGGCGCGCTGCCTGAGCGGCAGCGAAGAGACGGGCGAGCGCGCGCAATCGGGGCGCGCTGCCTGAGCGTCATCATATGCAAGGCGATGGGGGGTGGGCGGACATGGCGATGCAGCACATCCAGAAAATAGCCGCACTCATTCTTATGCGGATGCAGTTTTCTCCACCCAGCCCTTTTGCCAAATCCCATCCAACCGCCCACCTGTCTTATCCGCCGAAGTTCCCTCACCTTCCTCCCGCTCCGCTCGTCCACTCGCCCCCATATCGCCTTGCATTGGGGGGCGGCTACTCGGCCGCCTGCGTGGCCAAAATTCACCTCGGCGTGGCGGCCTTCACGAATTGAGTGCGGATGGAGTGTGTGGGGGTGTCCTAATTTGTTCTGACACAGGGGTGTGGATTGAAATTGCGTTGGAGGAGTGGGAGGGGGGCGTGTAGGGCCGACGCGTCGCGCCGCCTGCGCGAATGAGGCTACTGATGCTGAGGCGACATCAGTGCTGCCAGCCGTGCACCTGCACCTACGAGGTCGCGTTGCGCACCAGCCAGCTCGCGAGCACGTCCTCGCACTCGGCGATGCATTGCTCCTCTTGGCGGAAAGCGTTCACCGCGCGCTCCGCTATCTGGGCGCACATCTGCGTCGCAGTACGCGCGCGGCGCAACGAGTCGAGCACAGCCTGGCACTGGGTGCCGTTGAGCACCACGATGCTATCGGGCGACATCTGGCTGGCCAACGCCGTGGACATCCTCATGCCCGCCGTGGCTGACGAAGCTGCGCCTGACGATCCGCTGCCCTCCGAGAACGCGTCCTTCAGCTGGTGCGAGCGCTCCACGCGGGATTGTGGAGGGATTGGCGCCAGCTCGACCTTCGGCGCCCCCTTGCGCCTTTTGGCGGAGCCCCAGTTGGCCTTCTCCTCCTCCCATTGGCGCCACTCCGCGAGGTCGACTTCCCACGAGTCGGCCTCGAGTGCGACAGCAGCTACCTCCGCTTCGTCCTCGCTCAAGTCGTGGTACGGCGACACGCGAAGGTGGTTCACCAGCTTGTTCCTGGCCTCCTCCACTGTCTCTCCCTGGAACCACTTGCCGCCCCTTTTGCAGCTGCTGCTCTGTGGGCACTTGAAGCCGAACATGACGGTCTTCTCGCCCTGCTGGCCTGCCATGGCGGCAGGGCGAGAAGTGCACGGCTAGCGCAGGGGCGGCGTGGGGCGCGAGCCTGTGCGCGCCTAGATTCGAGCCGATACAGCGTCCCAACAACAAAAACATACATGTGTAAGAGGCGCGGTGGCATCGCACATTTCGGGATGCCAGCAGGCGGCGGCGGCGGTTTAGCCGCCAATGGAGGGCTCAGGGCGGCGTGGCCGCCAATGGGCGGTTTAGCCGCCAATGGGCGGCGTGGCCGCCAATGGAGGCTTCAGGGCGGTTTAGCCGCCAATGGGTGGCTCAGGGAAGGACTGGTGTTTTTTTCCAACCGCATAGAACAAACCCGATGCGCCGATGCTCGTATCTGAACGGCGGTTGTCCGCCAGGCGGGGGGAGGCGGCGCGTCCGCCAATGAGATAGATCGGCAACGAAGAGAGGGGAGGAGAGATGAGATGAGACGAGGCGGGGAGAGGCGGCGCGTCATGACGCGTCAGCGCGGATAGCTGCAACTATCCGCGCTCGAATTACGGAAGCTATGCACCCCAGCCCGCTTGCAGGTCCACGCGATCACCCTACAAGAAGACATCTCCGCGGGCGGGCGGGCGCGGCTTCGCTGGCGGTGGTGCCATCTTGCTTGTCGGCTGCAGCCGACGCCCTGCCCTCGGCTGCACCATGCTGGGCTTCCCTGCTGGCGGCTGCCTGGTCTTCGGCGGCGGCGGCCCCATGGTCTTCGGCGGCGGAGGCGGAACTGGAGGGTTCATATTGCCAGTCCTCCACGGCGCCTGCTGAGGCATCGTCTTGGGCAAGTTCGGCGCCATGGGCTCCCGATGCATCAGCTGAGGCTTGGGGACGTGCGCCTCGCGCACCCGCGGCGCTGCCTTGTTGCCGTGCAGCTTCGCGTACATCTCGCGCTTTGCGCCACCTCGGTTCCCCCAGCGCTTCGCATTGGCGCGCCACGCCTGGCCCTGCCACGTCTGCGGCCCGCCCATGGCGGGGCCAGGCGGGCCGCGGTCGCGGAACTTCTTGTAGTCGTACTTCATCTGGTACTCCTTGAGCACGGCGAGCACGGTCTCCGACCGCCAGTCGATGGGATTCCCAACGGGGTCGCTCAGCCAGGCTCGCAGCTGCGTCCTGAACGCCTCCACCGCGCTGGGATGCGCCTCCACCGCCTCGGGGGGCTCTTCCACCACAGGCGTCGCGCCCCGCATGTGCGACGCGAGCTCCTTCACGAGAGCCGAGGGCGGGAAAGGCCGCTGCCGCGGGTCCCGCGGCGGTGACGTCGGCCCCCGCCTGCGCGGCGGCGTCGACGGTGCCCGCGGGTGGCGCGGGCTGCGCGATCGCGCTGGCTGCGCCGCCAACGTGGGCGCGCTGGCTGGCCGACTGCCGCTGGCGGAGGAAGACCGATCCCCTGCGTTGTTGTCCACGCCCGCAAGGTCGGAGAGCAACTGCATCGCTGGCCCGAACATCTCCTGCGCCGAATCGCCAAAACAGTTCGACCGAGAGCGGCCAGCCAGTTTCGCGCGCGATGCGCGCGTCCCTGGCTACCGCACGCGGGGCCACTTGTTTTGGCGATGCAGCTGCCTCCAACGCGTCGAACGCGCTGCCGCTGTCTGCCATGGCCGCGGCCGCAGTGCGAGGCGCCGAGCGCGACGCGGTGGCTGCGGCGCAGCCTCGGCGCGCGGGCCCCAGCCCACGCGTCGGCGCGAAAGGGGGGGGGCCGACCCCGCGCGGGCTCGCGGGCACCCGCGGGCCGCGGGCTTGAACCGAAATGGAATCGGACGCGGAAGCGAGACTTCGGGAGGAGGGGGAGGGGGTTGCCCATGGACCCATTGAAGTCTTGGAGCTCCTCGAGCCCTCGGGGGCCTCTCAGAAGGGCCCCGCTGGTTCTTGCGACGGGGTCTCGGGGGAGGGGGCAGAGTGAGGGTGGCATTGGGAACCAGAAATATAAGTGAACTGGTGTCCCTTTGAATGTGCAGGTCTTGGTTCACTTGTTTTCGTCGTTGAACGGGCGGTGGCAACGTCGGTGCCTTCGCGCGCGCCCATGCCATTCTGGGTGAACGCCTTCGCCGTTCGAGCAGTGGGCGTCTCCCCGACGTTAGTTGGCGTGGGATCCAGTGCCTGACAGCGGAGAGGGGGGCGCAGGGACGTGGCGCGGGGGCGCGGAGTGGGCCGATTAGGGGAGGGGGGCGGCGGCATGTCCGCCTGAAGGGCGGAGGAGCGCAAAGGGGTGGGGCGGGGGCGGCATGTCCGCCACGAGTTGGAAGGCGAGAAGGCTGCGCTACAAGGCGGCATATCCGCCACGAGGCGGCATATCCGCCACGACCTTTTTGTTATCCCGAGGCCGCCCCGTTGGCCTGGAGAGTTGAAGAGTCGTAGCGCGAATTACTCGCCGCGCGCCCTCGCGGCGAGCTCCTTCTTGACCAGCTCCTCCGCCTCCGCGATGGCCCTGGCCTCGGAGCGATCGGGCGCAACGAGGCAGCAGGGGGCGGAGGGGGCGTCGAGGCAGGGGCGAAAATGAAGAGAGCGCGGAGGAGGACGTCGAGAAGGGCGTCGGTGAGAATCTGGCCTTGTCGGCCTCATCGCCCGCGATGTACTTCAGGCTGACGTTGCTGCCAGGGACGCCGACCCTGCCGCTGCGGAACTGCACCTGGGGGGCGGAGCAACGATGAACAGTCGCCTGAAAGGCGGCGGGCGCGCAAACTGCGACCCCAGCGGAGCTGCTGGGAATCGCCGCGCGCGCCCGACGCCTCATCGGTGGGAGGTTCAATCCCGCTCGCCAAGTTGCGCGTGGTCTGCATCTCCCACCTCGGCTTCGCCCACTTACGCTTCTTGTCCTTCTCGGCCGCGCCGTCCGTCTTCTTGCCCGCGGGGGGCGGCGTCTTCTTCTTAGCCACGTTGCCCGTGGCAGGCGGCGTCGTCTTCTTTGCCGCGTT